TATAAAAATTTTAACAAAGGCTTTTATTAAGTGATACACTGTGATCTTGGTCACTCTCAGGGTGAGGAACAAAATATATATTAAAAGATTCAGAATGTGCTGAAAGGGCTTTTACAGACCTCTGCATTGGGTGGATTTGGGAATAAAAGCATAAGGTTGAAATTACTTACATACCCAGGACCTGTTTCCATTTTCTTGAACATTCTTGCACAGCAGTGGAACTTGAGGAGATTATGTTTGCTTCCTTTGGACTATGAATCTTAAATATTCCATTAAGATCATACGGCCTCCCTCTTTAAATATTTATTTATTTATTTATTTATTTATTTATTTATTTATTTGACAGTTTTTATCAAAATGTGAATGTTCTGTTTATTAGAAGTTTATTTTTACCCTAGCCCTTTTTTATACGATCATTTTGAAAATACAGAAACTTTAAATCAGGCAGTGAAAGTGTTTGTATGAAATATTATCTTGGTTATTATGGTTTTTTTTTTCATGTGGTTTATAGCAATATAGCTTTTTTGATTTGCTTTCTTTTTCACAGTTTTTGGCAGATATGGAGAACAACGCACTCTTTAGGGATGACATTGAATGTCAAAAACTCATTATGGAAGCAATGAAGTACCATCTGTTGCCAGAGAGACGACCTATGTTGCAAAGCCCTCGCACCAAACCTAGAAAATCTACAGTGGGTGTTTTGTTTGCAGTTGGAGGAATGGATGCAACAAAAGGTATTGGTTTATGTAATGTTTAGCTGATGAGTTGTTTTGGTTCTTTTTAAAAGAAATGTTTGGTAGATTTTTTTACAGCCTGTTAAATCTAAAATTCAAGGACTCGGTAGTAGAGAACATGAAATATCTAAAGTGTGTACTGTTTATTAGGTTAAAAAAACCCCATATATCTTTGAGACTGCTGTAAATATTCTGGAATCTAGAGTTCTGATTTGAAATTACCATAGGAATAGCTGATTACTGGGTAGTGAAATGTTTAATTGAATACAAACTAATTTTATTTACTTAAGGGGGCAGTAATTTGGAAAAGGAAGAAAAGATCTGAAAGGCCACAAAGGTGACCTACACATGCTTAAAAAAAAAAGCCAAAACAACAAAAATATTTTGACTAATTGTTAAATAGTTCTGTCACAACTACTTGGATTATTTTTTTCATAGAAAATTTCATACTTTTTAATGGTAATTAGAAGGGATCTGGTAAGTTAGAAAAGTTACTGCAAATAAAGTGTTTTCTTTAATTTGTTGTTTTAAAGCTGTTTCTTGGTAGTTCATGTTACATACCATCAGCTTTTTTGTCTAATATTACAGAACAGTTGATCTCAATATGTAATTGCATTCCACATTGTTGGTTTATATCCCTAATATTTCTATTTCTAAAGGCTTGATTCTGCGAAGCAGTTACAAAACCTGTTTTTTGTCTTGAAAAGCACCAAGAAAGTTGTCCTTTGTAATGGGGCAGGTAATTGCTGAGGAAGTCAAAAAAGACTATTTGTCTACACAGACTTAAGAATATGCTGCAGGATATCATGGTGTCTTGTGGGAATCATTATATTGCTAAAATAAAAACTATCCTAATGCTTCAGAACTTTTCTTTTTCCGTATATAACTTGCATATGTTGTCATTCAGGAGCTACAAGCATTGAAAAATACGAACTTCGTACCAACACATGGACTCCAGTTGCAAACATGAATGGACGAAGATTACAGTTTGGAGTTGCAGTCTTAGATGATAAATTGTTTGTTGTTGGTGGCAGAGATGGACTGAAAACATTGAATACTGTGGAGTGCTACAACCCTAGATCGAAAACTTGGAGTGTAATGCCACCAATGTCCACTCATCGTCACGGTCTTGGTATGTACAGTTCTGTACAGGCTGACTGCGTATTTTTAAAAGGTTACCTGGTTTAGGATTGGACAAAAAAGCATTCAGAAATAAAGTTGGGGGGGGCTGGAAATTTTGTTTAGTTACCAACTGTTTATTCAATGTCCTTTCTCCTTCAGATTATATTGAAGATAGTATTTAGTAGCATCAGCTACCAAAAGGAATGTTTTTTTTTTTCTTTTCAGTTTTGTGGTGCACACTGGACTGTCACTAAGAAATTCTGATCTTTATTCCTCTTAATTGTCTGATCTTTATTTCTCTTAATTGTTTTCATATCTGTATTTTAGGAGTAGCTGTACTGGAAGGTCCCATGTATGCCGTAGGAGGCCATGATGGCTGGAGCTACCTGAATACAGTGGAAAGATGGGACCCACAGGCTCGTCAGTGGAACTTCGTAGCTAGTATGTCAACTCCCAGGAGCACCGTTGGTGTAGCAATTTTAAATGGAAAGTATGTGAAGGAGTTTCTGTTTTCAAATTTTAAATCTCATTATTTTAATGTAATTAAAAGACCATCTTAAATTACTGTTAATAATTTCTCTTGATAGATACCAGTTAGTAGCATTTAGAGACAAGTTTCTTCATTCACAGAAGAGATACTGTGCTAGGTCAAGCAAGCCTCTCCACAGCATTACAGCTGTATGTCAAGTGTACCAGGGCCCTCATTATCCTAGTGACCATCAGCTGGACTTGCTCCAGTAGGGCAAGATCTTTCTTATACCAAGAACCTGCTGCATTACAGTATGAAATTTAGCAGAAAATAATCTCCCTTGCATTCCAGCTAGTCCCCAGAGATCAGAGGGGCTGTGTGCAGCTGGGCCTAATTTCTGTTTATAAGCAGTTCAGTGCTGTAAGTCTGGTTACATTCAATACTTTAACAATCACAGATTCACAAACAGTGTGGTTTTTTGAAGCTACAGAAATGCAGATTTGGAGCAGCTGATTATGAATACACTTACTGCATCAGCACTAAATATACTAAGGCAAATCAGTGATTAACCAAGCTAAGTTAGCAATTCAAGCTAAATTAACAAATAGTCTCTTGCTTCACCCTTAATTAACCTGAGTTTCACCTGGGTATGCACATATACAGTTGGAAATGCAATTCTTACTAAAGAAGTGCCCCTGCTTTGGGAGTGGAGAGAAGTGCAAGCCATATTTTGCCAGGGTGACACAGCAAACAAAAGCTACTGATTTACTGAGCAGTATTGTGATTCTGGCAGAATATTTACACTCTATTGTCCACAAATTTTCACTTCCTGCTTATGTACTAAATGTGCATCTCCCTTGAGCTACTTGAATGCTGTCAGGTAAAAAAAAATATTAATTTGGAAGCCTAATCACTGGCAAATTAGTACTGCTGAAAGGCATCTACAAAGGGTTCTCTTAAGATCTGGAAAAGTCTAAGAATGAGTGGAAATTCTCATTGCCTACAGGAAGGAGGGATGAACTTGAACAACCAGCAATTAGAATGCCTTGGCTGCCTTGGAATTGCAGTCTCAGATACCTAAGTTGGGTCTTCAGCTTGTAATATATTCAGCAGCAGGTCCCAGATGTGATAAAAACCACCAGAATTAGAGCCTCACTTTTCCCTATTATTATAGAACATTGCCTAGACTGTTAATGGAGGCAACAACAAAAGATCACTACAGTTGACCTTTTTAAAACACATGCAGCATTTCAGATGCAGGAGCAGTAACTTCTGCACTTTCCTGTAATGTCTGTCTGTAACTTGGTAATTCAGTGATTGGATCAAAACCTTCATATAGAGAAGTTAATATGGCTTTCTCTGTGTCCAGAATGTAAAATCACTGCATAAATGATCAAAACTCTCTCCATGTTTTGGGGGAAGGCAAAGTTGGGAGCTCCATAAATGTTATGTTGCATAAAGGATTGATTTTAGTCATAAACATTATGGAACTACAACAGATTTTTACAGAAACCTTCAGTACATTCCTTACCTTAAACAAGTTGTATTACTAAACAAAGAAACTTCCATTGTTTTGTTTTTTTAAAGCTTATTAAAATTGTTACTGAGAAGGACTAGATCAACCATATTTACAAGATGTTTGTATTTAAGTTCGTTGGTTAGTATATTAAAAAAACTAAATACTAGTATTACCCAAACTGAGGACATCTTGAATAGTGCTTCATGGTAAAACCAGTGTAAATTCACACTATCATTATCAACAGTATCTAATGTTTGTTTGATTATCTAGCCATTCTTAAGCTCTGAAATATTTTGAGATGATTTCTCACTGGATTTTACTTCTCTTGCTTCCTTTTTAGAATGGCTTCTGTGTTCCTATTTTTCCAAATAATAGTGCTGGGCATGTCTGCTGCTATGCCTAGATTGCTGATAAATTCTGTTCATAAGCTCTTTATGAAGTTTGATTATTTGATTAGTTTTAAAGGTTCATTTGCGATTGAGTCCTCCTAAAACAATTTTTTTATTCATTTCGGTCAGCCCTTGCAAATAATTGAAATCCTTTGTACCAAATACTAGAAAACTTTTTCTTAGGACTAAGCTAATTGGGCCACCTAGTGGGTGTGAGGGATTTAACGCAGTGCTGTCAGTCATGAACTAAAACCCAGGTCCAGAAAAGCATGTGAATGCCTAAGATGAGGCAGGGTAGAGATGGTGCATGCACAGATCCACTGCTGAATTTGTCCTTCTGACCCTGCAAGTCACATATCTAATTTTGAAATTGTTAACTATAGGCATAGGTTGGAATATAAATACTGTGTAAGACATCCCATTTTCTGTAAATTATTGTTGTATGTTTTGATTGTTACAACAGGAAAAGATTGGAACAAAATCTTGCCTGAGTTTTCACAACAGAGAAGTCTACTGAAAGTTGAAAGTCTCCTTCTAAACTTCCCTTTTCAACAAATTTTGAATCCTTCATGTTTCGCTAGAAGCTGTCTTATTCAGACAACATTTATTTTTTTTTTCTTTTTCTTTTTTTGTTTTATTTTGTAGACTTTATGCAGTTGGTGGTCGAGATGGAAGTTCTTGTCTTAAGTCAGTAGAATGTTTTGATCCTCATACAAACAAATGGACTCTCTGTGCTCAGATGTCAAAAAGAAGAGGTGGTGTAGGTGTAACCACCTGGAATGGGTTCTTGTATGCAATAGGTGGCCACGATGCTCCAGCATCCAACTTAACATCCAGGCTGTCAGACTGCGTAGAAAGGTAATATCCTGATGGAGACATATCCTGCCATGGGATTTTAATAGTGCTGGTCTATTGAGGGATTTGTGGGAAGAGCTGTAAGTAGAAACACAGTAAAACAGGTATGTTACTGTTAGCATGGACAGAGGAAAATTACATATAAAAATATGCTGTATAGGCATACTATGATTTAAAATGTTACCAGGACAGATTATTTAAAGCAAATTCTTCTTAATGCAATTTAGATAATTTTAACAATCTCACTGAATGAATTATGTTTGATAACTGAAACAACGTGGAATTGAATGCTTTAAAATTTGAGCAGATCTTCTTTCACACAGGAAGTCTGAATCTATTCATATAATAACTTTCAAAGGAGTTAGCAGTAAGGTTTTGTGGATTTTTATATATCTAATTCTTTCTTGTACCCTGTAATGACACTGGAAAACTGGCATGTAATTCAGTCATTCCTAGTTTGGTATATCTTTCTGTAAAGTGATTAATGAATGACTGTATCACAAATTGCAGAAGCACATACGAGCCATAAAATAGTTTTAAAACATAGTAAGTGATTCATAATTCAGTTTATTAAATCTTTACTGGCATTTTAGGTATTTCTGAACTACTAACTTAATTCTCTCACTGCTCCTCCACCACCAGCTGTAAAACTTTTCTTCTTTCCTGTTACCTCCCAACACTTACAGTAAGTCCTCATTGCCCATGTTCTTCTTATACTAAATTTATTCATGCCAGGACATATATTCTACCCTTAACCCCCAAAAATCCCAAACAAAATACACAAAACAAAAGAACAACAACAACAAAAACCACACCACAAACATCCACCACAAGAGAGCTGTAGTTTTCAAACTTTCAGAGTAATAGTAGACCTGAAAATACAGTGTGGCCTATGGCCTTTAACCTGTGGAAGTTCCACTGAAAAGACCCCAGAAAGGTTTGCAGATAGGAAGCTACTTCTCAACAAATACCAATTTTTTAGGGCTATACATATAATCAGAAACCCAAGAGAAGCAGTAAGTCTGTGTATTTTTGTACATATGTATTTTCTGAAACAAAATTACAGAACCCATGACCTTAATAAATAGGAATCATCTTTTAATGCATTTTGTCCTTGCTAAGTGATTTGAAATGGAAGACCATCAAATTCATAGCACTAGTTCCTTTAAAAAATTAAATAATTAAGCAATATTACTAAACTTCTAAATTATATTTTGCAATGGAAGTTCCCATTCTCAGATAAATACAATTGCTTATAAATTATAAAATAATTGGAAAAGTAATTTCTACATTTTAGCTTACTAATCACCCTCTTCTATTTGGATGTGTGCTTCAAATGGTGTTTTCATGTTATACTTATGCTTGCATGTATTTGTGCAATACTTTGACTAGAGGACAGCAAATAAACTTGTTAGAGCTCTATGTATCTATGCTCTTCATGCAAAAAAATAAAGACTACTGTCTTTCAACTTGTTTTTAGGAAGTATGATCTTAGCCAAATAATTATTTTCTTTGTACCATTTTTAGAGCCCTTCAGAGCTCTGTAATTGCATTAGTTCTGCTGTAAGCATCTGCAATCTTAAAAAAGATTCTCTTAGTCAGATTAAAATATATTCCTTGCCATAAGCATAGCATGGAGTCTCCTTTGTAGGTCTCAATTTGACTTGTAAAGAATGCTGATAATCTTGTAGAACCATACAATTTTTTTTCATTAAACCATCTGCTGTTTACTGTGCTGATACTTCTAATTTCAAAAGTGTTGTAAATTGTCTTAAGGGTTTTGCATTTCCCATATAACTTTCTCAAACCATTTTTGGGGGTCATCTTTTTGAAATTGGTAATCTTAATAATGGTAATCTTATTACCAAAACAAATTTTACCAGCCTGTGCTTTGACATACTCAAAGCAAGCACTTGCTCTACTGTGGTGTAGCAGCAGAACTGTTTGTGGCATGGTATGTTTAAACATACAAAATGTAGTAAGAGCAGCTGTATATGGCTGTATGACTATTTGGAAAGCAGTATGAAGTAGATACCTGGCTAGCAGTGACTTGTGTTACCAGATTACTAAAGAAACGGCTTCAAAGGGAGAGGAATTGAGGGAAAGTCCTTTGAAATTGACACCCAGATCTTTACTGTCCTGTTTTCTACTACCTTGACAGCATCAATTCCAGTACATTTTTTTGTTGTTGTTGAATTTTGGTAACAGTTTTAGAGCATAACACAAATCATCTTTTAGGTATGATCCCAAAACAGATATGTGGACTGCTGTGGCCTCTATGAGCATTAGCAGAGATGCAGTGGGAGTGTGTCTTCTTGGTGACAAGCTGTATGCTGTTGGAGGATATGATGGTCAAATATATCTTAATACCGTGGAGTCTTATGATCCCCAGACAAATGAATGGACACAGGTATAGTTTCTAATCAGATCATACACTACTATTAATATTGTTATTTCAAATGTGCCTCCTTTTGCAAGGAGAATTCAAATATTCCTTCTCTAAAAAGCAGATTCTTTCTTGTCTGTTGAGTCTCTTTTTTCCCTTTGTGTACCATCTTGAGATGACTTCTCTTGAACAGGCAGTTGTTAATTTCCAATAAACTGCCCTCCTTCCTTTTGCAAGAGTATAGCTATTTTCTTTGACAATTTCAGCTACTTTTAATAAAATGTATTGCCACATTCCCCAAACTGTCACAATGGATTCTGTTTACCTGATTTCCTGTTCTGAAGATAAATGATAAACGTAGATTAGTTTTAGCTCTAATATGTCTCTCAACATTCGTATTGTCAAGGTTTTGGTCATTTTTTCATAAATAGTCCCTTCCTGAGGTGAATGCTGTGTACAGTGTATGCAGGTTCCAGAAAGCCTTTACCCATTTTTCTTTTTGCAGCTTTAAAATAAAAATAATTCTACAGTTCATGCTCAGAAACCATTACTGTCAGTTCAGAATTTGGTTACTTTTATATAGCTCCAGGAATGTGTATCTCTGTGGGAAGAGCACACACAAGGACATCCTGAGCTGACTGTCCTTTGGTATCTAATGCCATTTGAAATACCCTAAAGCGTTTACATCCACAAAAGGTTGGCAGATACAGCACAGACTATGGGACACCAAGGCCCTCCTGGAGTCCAGCTGCAGACCAGGATGAATGCCCAAGCTCATCTGTGATAGCATCAGTCACCAGTATTTAGGCAACTGAATTTTGAGCCACTTGAATATGTAATTCTAGTGACAGCCCCAAATTCTTAATTCAAAAAGAGAACTAAACTGCTGTTTATAAAAATCCCTGGAACACAAAAAAACTCTCAGTTGTTCATTTCCCTCCATTTCATACTACTGCAAGCTCTTAAAACACAAGTCATCAAGGAGGATCATCAGAGCTTGGGCATTCACTGGTATTGTAATGATAACCCATGGCATTGTTAGTCCTGCTAAAGAAAAAAAAAAGTATATCAGAGGACAGAAATTGCTTCTCACCAGAGGAGAGAAACTGCTTCGCAGCATTGCATCTAAATGCATCTCACATGTCTAGGTGATGACCATCTGTATGTACCTTGATATCATTAGCCTTGACCCCTTATATCTCACTGAATGCCAAAATCCCAGTGTATATGTATAGGATAGTTTCAAGCCCTTCCTAGAGGGATTGGGAAATATTTGTGTACCTTCCTTCTCTTGTTATGTCAGCAGTCTGCCACCTTTTCATCTTAACACAACTCAGGAGAAGGCAGTGGAATTTTCTCAGGCGAAGGTTGTCAGAGCCACAGACAGCTCTGTAAAAGTTTACTGTTCCTGGGAAAAAAAAAGAAATAGGGGAGCTGGCATAAACAGCCTTTTTTGTCTTCAGGATAATCTCTGTACCACTTGGTGTGCTATTCACATACATTGCAATACTATGAAGGTTAAAAGGGGAAGCAAAGGGGAGTGTTAGAAACTACTGCCCACTGTTCCAAGTCCAGCAGAATCTCAGCAGAAAAGGGTCTTGCCAGAAGTAAATTGTTTGCAATTAAAGAATAAAGACTGGTGATTTTTTTCTGATTTTAAGAACTCTTAACAGGATTTTATCAAATAATCAAGTATAAAGGAGAGGTTGCCCCTATAATTTTAGGCATTTTTGGTTTCTGAGAAATGCATTAGTTTACCAACCTTTACTCAATTGTCTGACTGTCTAGCTCAGGTATCCAGTTTGTACTAAAACAAAGGTTTCTTTTTCCTGTAATACTGAATAATTGAAATTATCAATAATAATTTCTTGATGTCCTTAGAGCTTGCTATTGTTTCCAGAGTACTTCACTCTGTTATTGAAAATATCTTTACCTTTTCTTTGTGTTTGCATCCAATTTTGGACCAATTTATAAGTCATGTTAACAGAGCATGGGTGATACTGTCATTCTGCTGCAGCCATATAATTAGGGGGAAAAATTACTTAAAGCTGACTGTATTTATCTCACAGATGGCTTGTTTGTTTACAGGTTGCACCACTGTGCTTAGGAAGAGCTGGAGCGTGTGTTGTGACTGTAAAACTCTGAATTATTTTCTCTGGGAAGATGAATTCTCCTGTGTAGATTCAGAGGATTGCTTTTTCCTCAAGCAAACTACAAGTGCACCAATAAACACCAGGTGCAGGACATTTACCACGGAAAAGTGTTTGGTCTGAAGCTGACATGATGTTCTTATGGACCAATATTAAGCACTTTTTAAAAACTTTTGTTATGCATATGTTACAAGAATTCTACTTGTAAGCAAGTCAGCTGCAACCTTCCAGTTGGCAATAGAGGACTTCTGTTTAGGAAGTGCTAAGAAAATGAGTGAACTCACTATAATAATCAAGTATTATGGTTCCAGGGCCTTGATTTTCCTAAATGCAGAGCAATGATGCTGTAAATGGATATACTTTCATATAATTGGGTCTATCTCTGGATGAAACAAGTTATAGGATTGGACCCCATCGATTTAATTTGCTTGTAATAAACGCAAGTAGGTATCTGAGTAACTACAAGGCAGGCTAACAAACCAATGCAAACCATTGTAAATGGCAGGTGTGATGCCTGCCTTGGAAATGAAGTTGTGTATTTGGTGAATCTTTTGCACTTTTTATCATCATTCCTAGTTTAGCAAACTTTTTATTTAACCAAAGCCTTATTTTAAATAGTCTTATGCTAACAGAATAATTAATAATTTCTGACAGATATTTTTGACATCCAGTGTACTTTTTGGATTTTCAGAGTTGTTATGCAAGATGCAGAACATCATACCTTTTTCTCTGCTTTGGTTCTTGTATTTACTTTGCTGTTTGTATGCATTATTGGAAGAATTCTAAAGTGTGATTAACAATTAACCAATTTAAGTTTAATATTTGCACTTTGGAATTTTTGAAGCATTCCATTACATCTAGACTAATTAAATTTTTAAATGAGGCTTTGCACTACTATAAGAAGTATAATTTTATATAATGAAGAAATTGTCTGTCTTTCCTGTAAGGTTATTTAAAAATGTAAAGGGCCCAATCCTGCCAGATGCTCAGCTTGCCACCATTTAAGCATGTTCAGCATCTTACAGGACTGTGATGTGTGCCTCGCAGGGCTGTATCAAATTAGTTACCTTATTTAACAGTTACCTAATTTTTTCAGATACTTGATAATTTGCCTTTCTCGAGCACTCTGCTGTTACACTGAATTGCTTTGAACGGTCTAAATGTTCTCGGGAGAAGCCTTTTTGTATTTGTTTTTACGTGCCTTGTCCCTTATGTTCTCCGAACAGCACCGCGCGTGAAAAGCGGGAAAATGTGAACTCATTGAATGTTTTGGGTTTGTTTTTTTTTTAAATTTTGAAGTGCCCGATACCCAAAGTCCTTTGTACATTTGTAATTTTAAGCGTGTGTTTTAACGCTCTCGGCGAACTATTTATTGTTTTAAAAGAAATCGGTGACACTTTGTGATGAAGCTTTGCAGTTGGAATACAGCTGATCTCAAGAGGCTTTGCTGGCGGGTGTGTGCCTTTATTCCCTCGCTTAGAAGCCCGTTCTGCCTGCCTACGGTCTAAAAACTTTCCATTTCCTCTGAGAGCTGCCCGCATCGCGCTCTGGGGCCGCGGCCTCACTCAGAGCTCCTCCCGCCGGGGCCGGGGCCGGGGCCGGGGCCGGGGCCGGGGCCGGGGCCGGGGCCGGGGCCGGGGCCGGGGCCGGGGCCGGGGCCGGGGCCGGGGCCGGGGCCGGGGCCGGGGCCGGGGCCGGGGCCGGGGCCGGGGCCGGGGCCGGGGCCGGGGCCGGGGCCGCTCCGTCTCCGCGGTAACCGCGGCGCCGTGGGCGGTGGCGCATGCGCGGTGGCGGCGCTGGCGGCCGCGATGAAGGTGGGTCGGGGTGCCGCGGTCTGGGCGCCGCGGCCCGGGGGGCGGGCGCGGGTCCGGCCCGCGGGGCGAGCGGCCCGGGGCGCTTGCGGCCCGTGCTGGGGAGGGAGGCGCGGCGAGGGGGCTTGGGTGGCTGCCTGCGCTCCCGTGTTTGTTTACTTCGCATGCAGAAACTTAGGGTAGACGGGAGCTTAAGCTCATCTAGTTGCAACGCCTGTGGGCAAGGACATCTAACACAAGCCCATGTCGCTCAGGGCTCCATCCTGCCTGGCCTTGTACGCTTCCACGGATGAAATGTCCAGAACTTCTGCGGGAATCCTGTACCAGTGCCTCTCCACCGTCACAGCAAATGCCTCTTAGTAACTAATCTAAACCTACTCTCTCAGTTTGAAGCCATTCTCCCTCGTTCTGTGGCTGCATGCCCTTATAATAGTCCCTCTCTGTCTTGTGTGTTTTCTTCAGGTACTGAAAGCCCACAGTTCGGTCATGCCAAAGCCTTCGCCTCTCCAGGCTGGGCAATCCCAGTTCTCGCAGCCTTTCCTCATACATGGAGAGGTGCTTCAACCCTCAAATCATCTTGGTGGCCCTCCTCCTTAAATTGTTTTTCAAAATCAAACGTCATTGTCAGATGATGTTTGTGGCTGTGGCATGTGCTGGTTGTAATTCTGCTGTTCTGGTGAGCAGAACACAGATTCAGTGTGAAGAATTACGTTGACCCAAAAGTAGGGAGAAGAACCTGTGTCAGACTTGAGCAAACCTCACAGGCATTTGGGGTGGACATTTATGAGGGATTTTTATGCTTCAGTGCATTGGAATCACACAGAAGTTGGGTTTGTATTTTTTGTGGGTTTTTTTTACCTCTACAGTACTCAGCTGCTAACATGCTAGCTAGGCAGTTGTAGTATTCTTATATCTTATGATTTTAAGATGTACAATTTACTACTTTTTTTTTTTTTCTTCCCAGCAAGTATTCTGTCTGTATGAAAAAGCTTGGTCTGGTTCTCCTGTGCAGTTTGCTTGGCAGAAAACTTTAGGAAATTTTCTTGCTGTGATAGGGTAAGACTGCAACTATTCATTGCATTTGTTCATCATAATTACTGATGAAGAAAGGGAATTATTCTATATATATATATATATAATATATACATATATATAACACATTTTATATATACATCAATATACATTTTGTATATACTTTATATATACATTATATATATATAATTTTTTTTTAGCAGTGATCATTCTGTGAAAATTTTTGATCGTCATGGTCAGAAGAGAAATGAAATCAGCCTACCAGGGTAGGTACTAAGATAAGTTGAAATTATTTTCTTTGTTGTTTTCTTTAAAAATGCTTCTATCCTGGTGAGATACTTAAACAATGTGAGAAATGTGTAGGATGATGTACTATCCCTGGTGAACATACCTGGCAGAGAAGACAAATTATGTAATTAAAATGTAAAAAAAAGACTTATCACATTAAGAAGGATCATAATGAGGTTGTGTAAAATATATCTTTGTAATCTTGCTACTGTTGATTTTCTAACAATTTATCATGGCTTTGCTGAGGAAAGATACTCCTTTAGTGCTCTGTTTGCATCAGTGGGATAAATATACACATTGGCATTGTTGCTTTAGGTCAAGATGATACTTCTGAAGTGAATCTTTGGTTTTTTTCCAAGTTTATCACACTTTGGTTCACATCAGATAATGGTATGGGAGTTTACAGACTGGATTTTTTTTCAGATTAAATTTAAAAACTTGCATACTTTGGAAGATATATTGAACTTCTTAAAAGGCAGTCAGAACATTGGAAAAGCCTGGATGTGAACCAGAGGAGCCTCCCTAAGGAAAAATGGTGTGACATTGGGTCATCATATTGGTTTGCTCAATAAATACATTTTTATTGGGCACCATTAATATCTCATGTAGTTACATTTGTGTACTGCTCATCTCTTCTTATCACTTTAACTGTCCTTGGTCATCATGGAAAATTTTTATTTCTAGCTACCTGATTAATTTCGATTAAGATAAACTCCTTAGTCAAGGCAAGGCAAAACTCCTGTGGTCTTTAAGGCTGAAACCTCCAGTCAAGAGTATAACTTAAATTTCCAGATTGTCACTTGCAATCCTCTGTCATTGGTAAATATGAGCCAGAATCACTTAGTTCCCCAAGAATCTAGAAGTCCAGTCTTTGTAGTTCATGGTAGTTGCCACTTGCCAGACTCCCTTGTGTTTCACTGACCATCACATCTTGCTGTTTGGGTCAGGTGTCATTCATAACATGTTCTGGCTGTGTCAGTCTCTTTTGCTTGGTAATATCCATGGCCCAGCTCTCTGTGCAGTGTTTTGCACAGTGTATGATAAATGCACATTCTCTCCAGAAAACTGTCCAAGTGAGGAAAGGTGTGTGGAATCAGTGGTGTATTATCAGAATAATAATCCCAACTCTGAATAGCCTCTAACAAACCACAACCTTGCAGAGGACTTTCAGTGTCTCTTGAAAATCAAGGTGACAGTCTTCCAAGTATTAGAACATAGGTAGCAGTGTTTTTTATGACTTTCCTCTCAGCCCCTGTCATCAATGAGATTTGAGTAATAGTGGGGTTGCTATAGAACTAGTTTACAGATA